AGTACCTATAGCTAACACCCAACCAATAGAGTGCTAGTTAATAGCTAATTGTTGGTTTGGTATTCTTGGCCAATCCCAACCCAGCACTGTACACGAGCAGGGCACATCCTGTATACTTCCTTGTTGAGCGTGACTGTTGCATCGAACTGAGGGCCTCGTGACATTGGCCATTAAATGACTCAGAGAAGAAATCACCTTAGCAGCATTGTCTGCCCTATGGAAGATCTGGTCCTGTCAGCTGTGCCGATTTTAAATTCAAAGATTTAAAATCCGCGCCAGGCAATGGACAAGTCAGTCCAACATGACGTAACGCGGAGGAATACTACACTCGAACCGTGTCGCGTGCAAACGTCTCGTCGTCACTCGTGGCTCAGTAATCGCGTAGTCAACATGTGAAGTCGCGTTTTGTCGCTGGTGTAGGACGAATTTATTAATATCTTAATTCGTAGCTCGGAAATTAGCGTTCGGGCGGAAATTGTACGTGCATCAAACGATCGCAATTGTCAAAATTTCGCCGAATTGCATTTGGGGGTGTGTTTTATTAGTATTAAGTCGAGACAGTTGAGATGCCGGATTGATTGTTCGCGTTCGTGATGAAAATTCGTACATGCATCATATCGATAGCAAATGTCAGTTTCTAGCGAATCGCGGGTCGTCGTGACGGTATTTTCAATTGAATCATTAAACGCCAGCTCGAAAAAACAAGAATTAATAAGTCCTACACCAGAAAAAACCGTGTCGTGATATTCCGCTCGGTCAGACAAAAAGTCAAAATTACCACGAGTCAGTTTTTAAATGTTCGGTACGCGTGAATCTTCGTCGGAATGAATGTTAATGTGTCGACATGTGTACGTAAGTAAATGTTTGTGTTATTTGTGTTTTAGTATTAAAATAGTCTTGCCAATCTGCCACATTTTTTCACATGTACCACTCGTTTTACAAGTTATGAATCATGTTTTGTTTGGTCTGAGATTTTCATGTTTCATTTGGTCTACTTAGAGCACATGGTCACGATTCAGGATAAAATGTTTTATTAAATTTGGTCATGTCATACAAAGGATTTAAGTTATAATAGTGAACCTAGTCAAATGAAAATTATTTCTTAAATTGAATTGAAATGGTGTATTAATTTAAAGAGCAATGTTTATCTGTGATATTATTATTTTTGTATTCTATGTAAAGTCAGATTCTATCATCGTCAGTATTATTATTTAAAACGTTTGAATTTCATGTGTAGAATAATTTTTGAACAGTATTACATTTTTAAATAGTGAGAGTTTGATTGTGTAACGTAAATGGGGGTAACAGAGTGCTCGGTCGAAGGCTAGGGTTGATAAAGGGTCATGAGGATAGACTCCCATTAAATTCATAAATATTAAATATTAAATAAAAAATTATCAAATAATCGACTCAGCAGTCGATTGGCCCCGTTGCACTGATCAGCAAGGAGTGATGTATATCACAAACCTACATAATAGTCCCTGTTTGATTAAATTGTAAACTGGCCAGTTTGATAATTACGAACATCTTTGGGGAGTCTGGTGATCCAAAACAAATAAATAAAATCATCAAGGCTAGGTTTTCCCGAGACTTTGCAGTTTTAAAAAAATGAACAAACCGCCAATTTGAACATTCAATCTTACAATCAACTCTCTCACTCTCTCTTTCAAGATATTGTTAAATTGTGCACAAAAAAGGTTATTACATTGTTTATATTTGTTACTTGTATCACAGCTCAATTCGACTCATTATACATTATTTTTACAAATCACCATCTTTTCATTATCCTGTGTTTCAGCTGTTAGTATCATTAGTATAAAACTGGTAAAGTAAAGAGGTAAATGGCTTAACTGAAAGAGGTATACAAAGTATTCACAATGAGTGTTGATGATCACATTTTGTAAATATATTTTGACAGTGCAATTTTTATAAGCTCAGTTCATAATATTTAATATTAAATTGGTGAATTCATGAGTAATCGGCTTAACCGAATCCAGTATATATAAACATCTTGAAGTCATACTGTTGATAAATATTTCCTGAACAAACAGTTTCACAAATATTTTCAATCAATATTTCAATATTATTATTTGCAATTTTACAGTTTTACAGAGTATCAATTCATATCACAATCTTTCATCTGAACTGACATTTCAATTCATAGAGTGTTCAAATAAACACATCTATTAGCTTTAAGAAGTGTTAGAATTAAGCTGAAGAAGGTGTGAAGGAGGACAACATATCAGACCTCTCACGGTCCATAAATCGGATTTCTGGGATATTTAATTACAGGGCCCACACTTAACATCTTTATTTCCACTGCGCAGCTCTGTGATTATAACGTCCTCAGTAGTCTGATTAAATAAAGTAATTTCATTTTCAAACCCCACCAGGGGGCAACTTTTTGTTATACTCACACCTGTATGGAATAGCCAAATTGCGTTACATAAAGGTGTGAGGTGATTTTGCTTGATGGAATGATCAATTAAGTAAAGAGTATATTTTGAATATAAGTGGAGATTCTTTTTTTTTCTTTACACAGCTTAGCTGAATATCCTCCATGACCTCAAGATATACTTGGCAGTAAAGTGGTCCCCGACCAGCAAAGACATATGTTAATTTGTTCTAATTAATTTAAAGGATAATAGAGATTTGCATAAATAAACTGTACTTATTAGGTCTCGGAAAAATTTACCCTTCATATAATAGTGAATTATTGAATATAATATAGTAGAATTACATGCATAATCATCCACCAAAATAGAGTAGTTTAATTTCTAGTGTTACTATAATGTACCATATAAATAGGCAGTAATTTAAAATAAGGATTATCTAATACCAGTCACTACCACTACCCTGTCAATCAATAATGAAAGCACTAAAATTGCACGAAAATGTGATTTTTTACTACGTTTTAATAGAGTATAAGGGTATACACCAGACCTGGCTAGGTATAAGAATTTAGTCTTAGCCTTAAAGAGATAGGTACCTATCGGCTTCCTGTCAATACATGAAAGAACGTCTTCTCTCATGTACAACAAAGCCAAAAACTCCTACAAACTTAAAGTCGATGAGGCAAAAAAATTGTTCAACGTTAAAAAAATTGAACTGCATTAAATCCCTGAAGGCAGCTTGGTTCCTTGTTGATGAGTCCAGAGGGAAAACCAAATCTAAAACCATGTTGAGCAACGCTAGCCCGGATGAGTTTAATGTGTTCCTGCTTGATAATGTGAAAGAAATTGTGAATAGTATTCCAAATACAGATCTGGACCCCCTGAATAGCATGAGCCAATTGATTTCTCATGTTTAGCTTAGAGGAATGGAAACCATCAGTAGATGCAGTATATAGCGAATTTAGTTTCAGGACTAAAAACCAACCAGTAGTCAAGATATTTATGGGATGACAACAATAGTCCTTGAGGCAGTGGTGTGTGAAATTGCATATCCCCTAGCTAGGGTCGACAAATGTTTAAAAGTAGGGGCCTTTTCCAACATTCTAAAAGAGTGGCTCGTACCTAACCATATACAAAAAGGGTGACCCGTCCAACTCAAAACCTCTATCGGTCTATCCCATTAATACCTGTCTTTGGTAAAGTTTTTGAGTCTGTCATTAAAGATCAGCTAATAAATCACTTTAAACGTGGAAATCTGTTTTCAAACTTACAGCACGGGCTCAGAAGGAACCATTCTACGACAACTGCTGTTACATAACTAGCCATCAGAGTGCAAACTGCTTTTGAAACATCCGACTTGCTGGCCTTAACACTTTGCGATTCAGCAAAGTGTTAGATTGTATATCTCACAGCATTTTGACATGAAAACTTGAACGTTACGGGGTGGGGGCGTAGCTCTCGTGTCCATTAGGTCCCATCTGGAAAACAGGCAGCAAGTGATATCACTTAGCGGTGCTCAGTCAAGACAATTTGACAATCCAACATAACATGGCGTTCCTCAGGGATCGGTGTTGAGACCAATACTGTTTCGGGTCTCAATCAATGACCTTGACATGGCTATGTGCTAAGATTCGCAAACGATACTACCACAATTTTATCGTCAGGCCCTACTCCTGCTCAAGCTCTTGACATACAGTAGAAATTCTTTTCGAGGAAGCCAAGACATGGTTCTCAGCCAACAAATTCAAGCTGAACGAGGATAAGACACAAAAGATCGTGTGCACCTTAATTAGATATCCCCAGATTGAAACTAAAGTTAATCTACTCGGTTTCACCATAGACCCCAAACTAACATGGGCTGAACATACTGAGGTCGTATGCAGATCTGCTGCAGAAGGCTATCGTAGGTGGTAGAGATGGGAATTATCGTTGTTTTCCGGCAACGGTTGTAACGATAACGCAGCTACCCAATAACGTGTTGCGGCAACGTGTTATTTTAATAACGATTGCCGACTCGTTGCCGCTAAAAACCCGTTGCCCGCCGGTCGGTGTTGCGGCGTTCAGTTATCGTTGCCGGTTGATCAGTTCAGTTTTCAGTTGCAGTCGGGAGTCGGGCATTGTCCAGACATGATGTGTTATTCTAATTCTAGTTCGTTTCCGAAGTTATCGTTGCTCTGGTAGCGTTGCGGCAACGGCAGTGCATAGTGTATGTTTTCGTTTTCGTAATAATTCGTTGTCCGCGCGGCTTTCCTGCAACGTGGTGTGGATAGATACGTTATTAGAATAACAGGGAGTTCTCGGCAACGTGTTGCCGCAATAACGTTGCCGGAGCCGCAACACTGTTATTCATCCTGTTATGTTAAATAACGCCCATCTCTATTAGGTGGACGTTAAAAATCCGGTAAACATAAACATTATTTTCTCTTTTAAAATGAACATGTTTGTTATTATGGACAACAACAGAGAACATCGTAATTTCATGGATAAAACTACTCAGACTACCTTATAGGCAATCAGAAAAAAAAAGAACTAACCTACTAACAAACAAAACAAACTGACTAACCGACTTCGACTTGGACTAACCTCAATTTTAAAAAGCGTGCTGTACATGCTATGCATGCATCAGCTTCGGTGTTGACATTCGGCATAGATTTGTTGCATTAAGGTTGACAGGAGTTTTGTCTTCTATTATTACGATCAATATCAATAGTACGAAATGTCTTACAAAGTTCCGAAAGTGCAAAAGGTTATGGTGCAACCCATAAACCTAATTTTCAGATTTCTTCAAAACCGTTCAAGGGTTGAAGTGTGGCTCTATGAAAATGTTACCATGAAAATAGAGGGACACATTGTAGGCTTCGATGAGTACATGAATTTAGTTCTAGATGAAGCAGAGGAGCATTATGTGAAAAGTGGCAAGAGGAAGAAGTTGGGAAGAATCATGCTGAAAGGAGAGAATATTTCGTTAATTCAGAACGTCCATCCGGAAGGTGTTTCATTGAATTAGTCTTGGACCAAGGCCTAGGCTTTCCACTTGAGCGCTAGCCTAGGCGAACATTAAATTCTAAACTCTTGTGTTAAAGTGTTCTTGTACATTACACTTTTTGATATTGTGTTTCCAATTTTCAGTGAAAATACTGAAAAGGTAAACAGGCTACAAGTTGAATTATTTTCTTGTACAACTCTATGTTGATTTAGGGTAGCCTATTTATGTTCTTTCCACAATTAAGTGAAAACATAGGCGTAGGATTTCTAAGTTTTTGCAATATAAATTATCTAAAATTACCTGCTGTGTTTTATTAGACACATTTTAATGCCCACAACAGATAACTTGCATATTAATCTAAGTTTATTACGGTACCGTAGGTTACTTAGATTTATCTGGTCAAGGATATTAGAAGAATTTAAATAATCATTTTCAAATGCTTCTAAGCCTAAATTACTTGTGACATAGGCCCTAGTCCCTAAATGATAACTACCGTTACTCAGAAGTTACCTTAACTAACTTAAGTTACATACTTAACTTGAGTAGGGACTAAAAGAACCGGCTTGATTAAGTTATTACCTCTTTTAATTTAGTCAGACAAATTTTGTGCTCCTGGAATTGGAATTACAGTGGAAATAACCGTGCAAACTACCTACCTAAGCATAACTTTATATTGTAAAATTACAAAAATAAGTCAGGCCTTACTTCTGCCCTGGAGGTTAGCTTGATGAAGCGGTACCGGTACTTTCATGTTAAAGGGAAAATTCATTATTATCGATGATTTTTTTTCGATATTTTTGTTTTACTTTACAACCCACATTCCTTCTGTTTTAGCTTAATATCTTCAAACGTAAGTTTATTTAAATTACAAATTGACAACTGACCTATACTCACAAATTCATTATAGCCTAGAACAGTTTCATTTAAATAAATTTTTAAATAAATATCTTTTTAAATTGTTTGTTGATAGGTACTGAACAATATTTATTTATCGTAGTTGTCAGCTGATTTAACTTATGTTTCAATCCATCAATATCAAAAGGCCTATATCGGATCGTAAAATAAAATATCGATAATAATGAATGTTCCCTTTAACAGGAAAGTACCGATGAAGCTTACTAAGTACTCTGCATACGGTAAAATAACCTAACTAACAAATGTTTTCACTTGTTGAGTGAGTTTAGTAAATTTCTTAGAACAATAGAATGAAAATAACAACCACTGCTTGCTAATGAACATTATTAGGGATTTCGTATGATTACATAACTTAGTTTGAGCTCAATATTGGTCTAGATGTAGACTAGTGTGTGTGTGTGTGTGTAGTGAGATGACCTGTGTAGCTTCATTTTCTGAATAAGATCAGTTGCGGTACCAGTACCATTTATTTATGCATATTGATAAAGTACAGCTGGGTACAATTTTCAACTGCTAAATGCTAAGCCTTTTAAGTTAGGCCTACTTATTTTTAGCGTCATATCAACTATGCTGTTTGTTAGGCAAGTTGCCGTCCTATTTTCCCTGGGTTTCCTTAAAAACTACAACTTAGGGCTACTAACTTAAAAGGGGATTAAAAATATTTTAAAACTAATAAGTTGCGTACCTATATTTTTACAACAAACATGCACAAAAGTTGAGTAAGAATCTACTTGCGGGTCTGTCCTATGTTTCCAGAGATGGACAGCACAGACAGTGTGAACATTACGTAGATCTCACGAGTAGCTTTTAGCCCCTCTACGCCAAGCTATGGTCTAGAATGAGTATCAAACACTCATCTGTCCCGCAGCTTTAACTGCCAAAATAAAAAAAAAATGTTTAAAAGTTTAGTAGCCTATGTTAGGTGGGGACCTACCATTAACTCCTTCCCAGAGTGACGTAAGATATTTTTGCCATACTACCAGCATCAAGTTTTCACATTATGTTTTTTGTTAAAAAGACTACCTACATAACATAATCATTAACTTCTATTTTGCCATAATTTCTCCAATTGATAACATAGAAGCTTACTCTAACTCATACCTGTTTTTGGATTTATCAGGCAGTGTATCTAAGATAGCTTCTTTTATCTACTAAACTACTAAATTTTAATCCTAGGCTATAAGTAATGTGGAATTTCAGAATTCTTCATCTTCTGCAGAAAATTAATTTGTAAACTATCGCAATACTCCTAACAAATGATAGGGTAACAATAATTTTATTTTTTAAGAAATAGGCAATAATTTTAGTTAAGACCAGGCCAATGCAAACATATTTGTCAATCTGGCTAAATAAATTACTTTAACTTTTGAATGCCTGCAATGCCTGTCGTCATTCAAAGTGATTCAGACTAACAAATTAATAGTTTCGATAGGCGAGTCTATCATGCGTGGGATAGGGGAGAGGTAGCTTTGTCAATAGCCTATAGCATTGCTGTACCAGGCGATTCTATTTTGTGTGAGTAGCTATTAGTAACTATTAGCTTTGTTGACAAGATTTAGCATTGTTCTACATGATGAGAGTCTATTTTTAGTTGGTAGGTAGCTTCGTTTAAACTGATCAGTAAATGTATGCACTTGAGCACTGGTCCCTTACTTTGAATAATGACTATGTGGTCATACTACAGAAATACCCATGTGTTAAATAAACTAGTTTTTTTTTAAGTAAGGCGAGGAGAAGGCTTATGTTCCCAAATTTAGGGGACATAAGGCTACAAGCCCTTATACAATTATGCAACTCAACCACTTAAAGTTTCAATGACTAAAGCTCAGGTAGGTACTTTGTCTGTTAATTTTACGTGATTTGTAACCAATTCAGGGGGCTTTGCCTCTAAAAACACAATCGCTTTTATGGCTCCAGTACCATAGAATGCTAACATTGACTTATGGTGTTAAAGGTGACGCATTGGATGGTGATAAAGGCCACCCTAACACTTGTGTTTTTATATTTAATTTAGTCTTTAGCCCCGCAAGTCGTTTTTAGATTAATAGTAACTTAAGTCTATACTTATTGCTCAAAATCAAATACAATCGTGTTGACTAAGGGGACGTCCACATAATACGTAACACGATTTTTGCCATTTCCCCTGTGACGCTGTATAATGCAAGCCCAAACCCACCCCCTCCCCACAGTAATGTAACACTGTCAGATATTTTCTTAAACAAGGTTGTGGGATATGAAATCTAGGTGAAATTTTCTCCTTAAGTCAAAACAAGTTTTTAAACTGGTATAAAAATACCCCCGCTGCAGCAAACCTGCCGACTAAGCGAATTTCCATTTGTCTGAATTGATTTTCAGTTACATATATTTTAATAACATTAGGTTTAACGAGTACCTAGGTTTGCTGCTACAAGGAAACTAATAGTGTGTTTTTGAGTAAAATATTGATAGCTTAGTACAAAATAAATAAATTTGCCAAGTTTGATCAAAATATATCCATAAACAAGCAAACTACAACATTTGACAATATTCTCCATAAGAATAACATGGGAATTTTAAATTTACAATTTTTTAAATTTTCTCCGTTACTAATAATCGAACAAAAATACTTTTATATACTAAATTATTTGTTTTTTTAAGCTCTTTAAAAAGGTCTAAAGAGAAATTGGGAAATTTGGTGTTTTGAGGGTCAAAAGTGAGAAAAACCAATTTTTACCCCATAAAACCCCCCGTAAAGCCCCGTTCCCATGGTCCGATAGTGCGGGTTCGCGAACTCATTCAAGTTTATCCCGCTTTACACCTTTAAACCAAATTTCATCAAAATCGGACAAAAATTACTCAAGTTATCGCGTTCACGGACGTATATATATAAATACATATATAAAAATTTGAACGAATAGTGTTTTTGGCCTCTGGGGACATCAAAATGAAAAAGTAAATCGGTCCCGGGTCTAGGTCTTACCGTGCCACCTACGGTAATAGCTACTTCCCTATAGGGAAATTCGCTAAAAACATTTAAGAACAAACTGTTACAGTTTGTTTATCTTTTTATTTATCTAAATCTCAGCAATTTGCATACTAAACGCAATTCTTCTTTTGTGATTTTTTACTCTAGCACTTCTGAACAATAAATTTACTTAACAGTAAATTAACAATACAAAATTCATATTTACCTTATTTGCGATGGTATTTTAAAAACCTAGGTTGACCAAATCCATTTTTGATGTCTTCTATGAATGAATGATCAGAGCTAGTAGTTGGTAAGACGTTTTGGAACTAAAACATCAGTTCCAGACCAATAATAAACAATAAAAAATAATGTTTACTCATTATATGAATATTTTTACCTAAAAGACTGTTTATAAAATAACATAATTATTTAGGCACTTTGGGGAAAAAAGATTTTAACTGCGTTACTGTAACAAACTTGAAAACCCCCACCCCCTCCTCGTAATGCTGCTTAACGGTAAGCCGAAACCCTCCCCCGTCCTTAAGTGTTACATAATATGTGGACCAAATAAATTTTTATTTTCACATGTACATTTATAAAAGGTAACTTATTGTAAAGTCTCGACCATCCGACCTTCTGGGTTATTATTTCATATCTGCCTCTAACAGGGGGCGATTCAGTACGGTAAAATCGCTCGCCAATCCAGGATAGTTCCAGGCTTTAGACACCTGCACTTGGTTATTCTGATTGTTTTAGCATACCACACAGTTCGTCAACCTTATACCTCCATACCTCTCTGCTCTTGTCTTAGTTGAAGTGCAAATATAAGAGTATAGGTCTACCTGAGGCTGTATGAGTATTATTTCAACATGATTGTAATCAGTGGTGTTCCAGGGTGGATGTTTTGGGGTTTGACCCCCTCTTGACCTTAAAACGTGATACAATTAAAAAATATGTTTAAATGTCTCTAAATAGATTAAAAACCAGAGTTAACAGGTCTAATTTTCAATAATGTTCTTGGGTACCCCCCTCTCCTTTTAGGATCATACTAGTTGCGCCTATGATTGCAATAAATTCTTACTATTTCCCGTCCGTGGCCAATTTAAGTTGGATAATCAAGACTACTGTATAGCACAACTACAAAACAAGAGAACACTGTGAAATTAACAGTAAATATACAGGGTCTTCAGACTAAGTTGATAAATTTAAGTTCATTCTGGAGGATAACAAGCTACGTCACCGAGGAACTCGGCTCTCACCGTTCAACTGGAACTGGCTAATATTTATGTCTAATATGTTTGTCCAGTTGAAAATCAGCAAGACCGCTTTAAATTATTTCTATTTTGTCTGAATTTTAGTTTAGTCAGGGAGTAAAAATGTGTTTACTCCATGTGACTTTTGTTCTCTACACAAATGATAAACAGTGCCTAAGATGTCAAGGATTCATTTGAAACCTATTACTGTATGTGTTTGCTGCAGATTTTTCAACATTTTTATCCAGGATGAATGGAACTGTATTGAACAGTTTGGTTTGGAACAATCATTATTTTAGAGCTTTACAAAATTATTGTATTACACAATATCTTCTATACAAAGTCTCAAACCTCAGACTCAATTGTCAATCGTCAAGTTAAAATATTTCATTTCACCATCAGGACCTAACTTTGTTAAGTGTTAGTGAACTTTTTCAGGAAAGGGAAGGCAATTTTTTGCCATTGCCTTCAATCCTGTGACACATTCGTGACACTTTAGGCTCTTAGTTGTAAATCTCACAACTTATTTGGATGAAGATGTCTATATTACCTAAACTATGTCAGTAATGTAATGTGGGAATAATTAACTATAGGCCTACTTGGACTGGTAGTAAAAATAGTTATACAAAGAACGGTATATACTTAAAAAATTTACTATCAAA